TCTGTCTTTATGGCGAGCGCACACGCCTTATAGCAAAACCTCTCAAGAAAAAAAAATTAACTAGATGTTAGTTATCAGTGTACAATGTGCTTAAAAATTAGGAAATATACCTCTACACTTCTTCACAATAGGAATTAGAATATATTTTCAGATAAGGACAATGGAAATACCATACACCAAAATTTCTGGCAAAACAGTGCAGCCACTTTGAAAAAGTTTGGCAGTTCCTCAAAAAGCTAAACACTGGCCCTGTGTTGTGGCGCTAATAAGTTGAACAAGAGAAGATGGATCCCACACAGCAACTGGTTTGACTCCCCAGTCTGGTCAGCTTGAAATATGCCAGGAATATGGGCAAGTGCCCAAGATCTGATTGGACTAGCGAACTGGAGGAAGGGGATCACTGTGTCACTGGAACCTGTGGTGGGTGCTCCTCTCTCTCATTCTCATGTGATGTATGTGCTCTATCATGAATAAAGAAAATTTTAAAAATGTTAGACGTTATAGTTACCATACAGGGACCAGCAAATGGTGTAATGGTTACACCGCTGGACTCCAACATGGCCAACTATGGTTCACATCCTGGACCTGGTGGGTTGAAACACTCTGGGCACATGTCTGTGTGTGCCCAAGATCCCAACAGAATGAGGAGAAGGGATTGTGGTGTGGCCATTTCCCCTGAGGAATGATTTCTCACTTTCTGTCTCCCTCTGGGTCTCCAGTGAGTGCCTGTGCCCTATAGCAAAAACCTCTAAAAAAAAAATAGTTACTGTATGACCCAGCAATTCTATTACTAAGCGTATACCCAAGATAACTAAAAACGTGTTCACAGAAATGTTTATAGCAGCATTCACAATAGCCAAAAATTGTAAACTACCCAAGTGTCTACCATCAATGAAAGAAAATGTGTGTGTTGTGAATATTATTGAACACTACAAATGAAGTACCAACACATGCCACAACATGAATAAATCTCAAAGCATAACGCTAACTGAAAGCAGTCAGGCACAAAAAGCCACATGTTATATAATTCCATTTATTTGAAATACCCAAAGTAGGCAAATTAATGGGAATGGATAGTAAATTAGTGGTTGCTAGGGGCTTGAAGGTAGAGGGTAATGGGGAACAGTTGCTAATGTGTATAAGGTCACTTTTTGTGGTGATAAAATGTTCTGGGATTAGACAACAAGAGCTGTGCTATCTTGTGAATATGCTAAAAAAAAAAAAACCACTAAATTGTATACCTTAAAAAGGTAAATTTTTTTGTTTGTGCATTATACCTTAATTTAAAAACACTGTTTAGATGCAGCTATGTACGAGAAAATGTATAGCCTTAAATGCACATATTAAACTAGTTTTACTAGTCTGCTGGTAAGAACACTCTCTAGTTTACTTACTACGCCTACCAGTAAGAATTCTATATAGTTTGCTTACTATGCTTACTAGTAAAGATATGCTTGAAAATATCTCCAAGAAACATTAACCTATGAAAATATAGCATGCTTTGAAAGAATCAAATAGAATTCTAGAAAAGAAAATATAGTAACTAAATTAAAACCTTGTGAGCTAATTTAACAACAGACTAGATACAACTTAAGAGTGAACTGGGGGACCAGCAGTTAGCATAATGGCTATATCGTTGGACTCCCATATAGTCAACCATGGTCCAAGTCCTGGACCCGGTGGCTTAAACTCACGCCGGGCGCGTGTGCGTGCGTGCCCAAGATCCCATGGGGAGAATGGAGGAGATCTGGGATTAGACAACAAGAGCGGTGCTATCTTGTGAATATGCTAAAAAAAAAAAACCACTAAATTGTATACCTTAAAAAGGTAAATTTTTTTGTTTGTGCATTATACCTTAATTTAAAAACACTGTTTAGATGCAGCTATGTACGAGAAAATGTATAGCCTTAAATGCACATATTAAACTAGTTTTACTAGTCTGCTGGTAAGAACACTCTCTAGTTTACTTACTACGCCTACCAGTAAGAATTCTATATAGTTTGCTTACTATGCTTACTAGTAAAGATATGCTTGAAAATATCTCCAAGAAACATTAACCTATGAAAATATAGCATGCTTTGAAAGAATCAAATAGAATTCTAGAAAAGAAAATATAGTAACTAAATTAAAACCTTGTGAGCTAATTTAACAACAGACTAGATACAACTTAAGAGTGAACTGGGGGACCAGCAGTTAGCATAATGGCTATATCGTTGGACTCCCATATAGTCAACCATGGTCCAAGTCCTGGACCCGGTGGCTTAAACTCACGCCGGGCGCGTGTGCGTGCGTGCCCAAGACCCCGAGAGGAGAATGGAGGAGAATCTCCCCTGGGGGGTGATTTCTCGCTTTCTGTCTCTCTCTGTCCTTCTGGCGAGCGCACACGCCCTATAGCAAAAACCTCTTCTCTTAAAAAAAAAAAGTGAATTGGTAAACTGGGAAGTTGGAAAACAATCACCCTTATTTAGGTAATAAGCATATTTGAGTATTCTATGAAGCGTTATGATTTCTGTAGCTTATCTTCAAATGGTTCGGCAAAACATGTGTCTCTACATAATGTGTATATGGATGAAAGCATGCTTAGCAAGAAAGGGAGTTAAGGCAAACATGGGAAAGTGTTAACTGGTGAATCTTCATAAAGGGCATGTGGGGTGCATGTACATACCTGGCTTCCTAAACACCACATGCTACTGTTTTGTTCCTACCTCACAAAAGTGGTAGCTTTTTGGGGGACCAGAAGTTAGTGTAATGGCTATGTTGCTGGACTCCCATGTAGTCGACCACAGTCCAAGTCCTGGACCCGGTGACTTAAACTCACACTGGGCGCGTGTGCGTGCGTGCCCAAGACCCCGAGAGGAGAATGGAGGAGAAAGGAGTGCAGCGTGGCCATCCCCCCTGGGGGGTGATTTCTCACTTTCTGTCTCTGTCTGGTGAGCGCACGCACCCTATAGCAAAAAACAAAAACAAAACTCTATAAAAAAAAAAAAGTGGTAGCTTTTTCTCAGCCTCCTTCATGGGTTAATTCCTTCCTGAAATTAGAATGGCCCAGAGCTGAGGCCTTCAAAATCCCTCCATTAGCACACTTACTCCTTTGATTTTACTGTGTCACAGCAAGAATCAAATATAGTACTAACTCCCAGGCTCCCTTCTAACCTAGATCTCTCTCTCAAATTTCTCTCTCACATCCAGTTGCTAACGTGACATTTCCACTTGGTTATCCAGGACTCACCCAAAATTGAACATATCCACAAATGAATGCCCCAGGGTTTTCTCTACCTATAACCATCCTCGTTGATGGCAACTGCATCTTGAATTTCAGTTGCTCAGTTTAGCACCTTGGATTCGTCCCTGACTCTCCCCTCTCTCTCTCGTGTTTGATAATTCACCGGTGAATCCCTAAACTAGCCACTTCTCATCTTCATGATGCCCACCTTGCTTTAAGCCACCATCAGCTTTTACCTGAATCCCGGCGATAGCCTTCGAATTGCCTTACTTGCCTCATCCCATGTCCTTACACTTCCCCTACCAACACCAGAGAGTGGTCATTTGGAATCTACTAACAGGTCACTGTAATGTCATTTTGTACCCTAAACCCATCATAATTGTAATTTCTCAGATCAGGAGCCCAAATCTCTGATGGTCTTCAAGAGTCTGTACCATCTGGCACCACACCCTGCTCTTTGCTCCATGACCTCTAGTCTACTATTCTTCCCTTCACTCACTCCACTCCAGCCACATTGGCTCCCTTGCCTTTCCTCAAACAAGTCCAATATCCTCATGCTTTAGGGTCTTTTCACCAACAGTTACCTTTATCTCTTAACCCAGTTTTCATGGTAAAAACTATTGGGTCACTGGGCAAGTCATGATGCATTTCTGCATAGAAAAACATGTCATGACTTTCTTGGTGACTTAATAGTTTCAGTTTATCTGGGATTAAGACTCAGGCATCAGTATGTAATTTTTTTAATCTTTTTTTACTTTTTCTTTCTTTTTTTTGTAATTTGCTTTAGGGCACATGAGCTCACTGAAGACAGATAGGGGATGGGAATGGGGGCAGGAAGTGAGAAAACACCTCCCCCTCCCCGCTCCCCCCTCCCCCGAAGATGGCCATGCTACAATCCCTTCTCCTCCATTTTTTCTTGGGACTTTGAGCATGCATGCACTCATGTCTGGGACTTGAACTGCACAGCTGGTCATGTGGGATCCAGCCACCTTAACTATGGTGCTACCAGGTGGCCCAGCATTAGTATATTTTAAAAATATTCTGTATTTTAAACAATAATCAGGTGTTGGGGTGTAGGTGTTATGGTGGTTGAGGCACTGGACTCCTACATGGCTAACTGAGGTTCAAGTTTTGGACCTTATGGCTTAAAACTCACGCCAGATGTGTGTGCATGTATGCCCAAAATCCCAAGAAGAGAATGAAGGAGAAGTGATTGCAGCATGGGCCATCTCCCTGGGCGGGGGTGATTTCTCACTTTCCCTCTATCTCTGTCTCTTTCCATCAAGTGTACATGCCATATGGCAAAAGTATTAAAAATATCAGGGGTTATTTTAGCCTTGAACTGGTAATTGTTGAAACTGAGTGATGGAAATATGGCATTCATTACACTAATCTCTCAAATGGATGTAAAACAAAATAAATCTTCTGTGGTGAGTCTAACATGCAGCAGGGCTGGGAATCACTGGGCTATAGTCCCCAGATTAATATCATTTTTTGCCTATAAATAATTGAGACATTTCTATGTTGAAAGGCTCAAGAAGATACACATAAGGTCCAGTGCTATGGCATAGTAATTCGGATTCAAGAACCTGCTGCCAGCCTGCGCTGCTGCCAGGGGTCCCTGAGAGCTAAAGCCAGGGAAAAGGATTGAAGCAAGATAGACACCATCAAGGGTGTGCCCTCTCTAGTGCGTTGCATGTGTTTTATATCATTAAAAAAAAGAAAGATACAAAAAATAAGAAAAACATCAAATTTATTTCCTGAAATAGAAGGGGGGGGGAAGTATGCATTTGAATTCTCTTTATATAATACACTTAACAATAAAAACACCTGCCCCACGTTCTACTTATTTCAACTTAACCCCAACACTGTGGCATCTGAAAGAAGGAAACGATTTCTGGTCCTTAGTTTGCAGAACCTGAAAACAAGTAAAACTGAAACTCCAAACTCAATGCTCCCAGGTCGAGGCAGAGGTTTGTTAATGATGAAGCCCACACAGCTGAAAAATAAAGTGCTTTTTACTCCTCACTTATCCCAAAGCTTTAGGATAGTTATTGGCAGCTCCAGGTCCCACCACAACTTTGACTAATGCTTAACCCATTTGAAGGTAAAGTACAGAGCACTGAAGACTACAACTCTCTTCAATTCCAAATGAACCAATATCTAAATCTGAAGTGATCAGAGGTGACATATCTTTCTCTTGAAAAAATAAAAACGAATGCTCTGGTTTGGAAGATCCTTGTTAATAATATACCTGACAAGGAAAATTTAAACTGTCACCTTTTTAAAAATTTTGGTCATAGTAATCAGAGTCTATGAAATGTAAACTTCTTAAGATTTGGGGAAGAGAAATAATATGAGCCCTATCAAAAATAGCTACTGGGATGATTAGGTTTTATCTGAACTTCCCTTAGAAGATGGGGGGACCGGCAAAGACTGACTTCTTTGGCGACTGTTCCCACTCATGTTTACCAGATGGCTATTGATGACCTTCAGTTCTTGGATCACCACGCTCAGATCCTCATGTAATTTAACTATTGCATTTTTAACCTCCTGTAGAAGAACTTTAATGGAATTGTTTGCTTCGGGTTCCCGAGGTAAGCCCTTGGTTGTCTGAAAACTAGAACAGGACATAGCGGTGAACTGATCTACATTTTGGGTAGAAAAGTCTATCCAATTACTGCTAGAAATGAGATTTGTCTTCTTTTTAGCAGAATCAGAGTTATCGGGAAGAATTTCTAGATTAAAGTTATCATTTTCCTCTTCGTCAAAAGACAGTGGGCCCCGAGAAGCAAACAGATGATGAACCCTGGTTGTCGTATCTCTTTCTTCAAAGGAGGCAGAAGACAACTGTTGCTGGGACAAAGTCCAAAAGGAAGGCCTGGCCAAAACTGGGGGCAAGAGATGAACTGACTTCTCTGGAGAGGCTGACTCAGGGGACGACATGGACAAAGTAGAAAAGGAGGATGTGCCTTCAGAAGTAGTTGAAACTAAAATGCACAAATGAGAAAGAATTATGCAACACACAAATGAGAGTAATAGCTAAATAATTTTATAATGTCAAAGCCATCCAGAAGATCTCAACATACATAAAATACTTAAAATTTTAAATGTTAAATGTTCATAATAAGCATAAAAAAAAAAAAAAAGCCCCAAAGCAGGAAACTGATAAAGTCTACAGATGTATTATATATCAATAGTACCATGGAAATGAGACTAAGATAGAATTATCAATATTCATCTTGACTCCCAAATGCTGCCCAACATATTTTTTCATGAAACTTAATCAGAGTGCAGAAAAGCATTAAAACCCAGTCTACTGACTGCCAACATTTTAAGTTGGTTTGTAAAGTAGAAAGCCTGAGAAACCTGTAATTTAGGTTCCTTCATCCCCCTCCCCCCACCCCCCGCAAGGATTATTATTACAAAACAAACTATCCATCGCAAGTACCCAAAAGTTAGTGAAATTAATCTTTTTCTTTCTATGGTCAAATATAATCAAGACTCAAGTCCAATCTAACATCCAGAACACTTTAGCATATGAATATAATAATTTTTCTCACCAAGAGACTGTAAGATTAAAAACATTCTAAATCTATTGGGTTCTCAGAAAAGTCATGACGCGTTTTTCTATGTTTGCATCATGACTTTTCTGACAACCCAATATTTCCATAAAATTACAGATTTGAGAAAATTTTACTTCCTTTCAGGAAAATAATTTTAAAGCTCTCATACTTCATTCTAAGTCATTATTTCCTAAATTATTCTGAACAACACTTAAGCTGTTAGGAGATGCTTTTTGAAAACGGGGCTTCACAATCAAGTCAGACTGGGCAATTACATGTTGTGCTTCCCATGAGAAGATTAACGATGTCCATCAGCACATTTAAAATTTCGAGAAATCTATAATACTTTGTTCAATTGTTTTCTAAACTTTCTTAAACACAGAATTGTTTTTCTTTTTGAGATGTCTATATTCATTTATGTAAACATGGTACAAATCGGCAAAACTCAATTCTAGAGTCTTTGCCACTAGCTCTGAACCTGCCACTTAAAGACCTGATGATTACCACTTAGCACACATGACTTCCCTTTCTACGTTATTTATTTTGCTTTACATATTCATGTCCCTTCTAAACAATTGACCTCCTATAAAATATGTGGTCAGGGTAGGCAGTGCCTCTCTATTTTCTGGTTCAAGAACTCCATGGACGATCTCTAGATCTCTAATCACAAAGCTTTTGTGGGGGACAAAATGAGTATTCTCAGTGGCAGCCTATGAAAAAGCAAACAGGAACATCATCAGCACATGGTCAGGACAAGTCAAATACGCTTGAGGACTGAGGCCAGCCTAACCCAGACCCTCTATGCTCAGATTAAAAAGACAGTATGTATGGCCAGTAGGTGGCACAGTGGTTAAGGTGCTGAACTCCCACATGGCTGACTGCAGTTCTAGTCCTGAACCTAGTGGCTTCAAAATCCTGTCAGGTGCATGTGCGTACATGCTCAAGATCTCAGGAGGAAAATAGAGAAGGGATTGTGGCATGGTATCCCTCTGGGGAGTGATTTCTCACTTTCCCTCTCTCTCTCTCCAGTGAGCACACACGCTGTGGCAAAAGAAAATAAAAAGATGGTGTGATGGAAGTGGGCATGCTAAAGATGGAAGTCTCACATAGTTACATGCTGAACTGGGTGTGCTCTAGGTGGGGACCACAGCTGTCACCTGACATGTCACTTCCCTGTCTGTTGTGGCTTTCCCATGTCTTTCTGGGTTTACTCTATTAGTGTAGCATATTCTCCAGTAAATCACTGAAAAATGATGCACTAGAAGTTCTACATGTTTGAAAATGTCTGTACTCAACTTTTTTTTTTGGAGAGGTTTTTGCTACAGGGCGCGTGCGCTCACCAGGAAGACAGAGAGACAGAAAGCGAGAAATCACTCTCAGGGGGGTGGGGGGGGAGGGATGGCCAAGCTGCAATCCCTTCTCCTCCATTCTCCTCAGGATCTTGGGCATGCACGCACATGTGCCTGGCATGAGTTTAAGCCACCAGGTCCAGGACTTGAACTGCGGTCAACTACATGAGAGTTCAGTGACATAGCCATTACGTTAACTGCTGGTCCCTCAACTCTCAGTTTTAATGACAATTTGCAGGGCCAGTAGAGGGAATAGTGGTTATGTCACTGGACTCACATGTCCAACAGCAGTTCAAGTCCTAGACTCAGAGGATTGAAACTCAGTGCCGGATATGTGTGCACGAGTACCCCAAATCCTGAGAGGATAATGGAAGAGAAGGGACTGCAGCGTGGCCATCCCCCCAGGGGGTGATTTTTCATTTTCTGTCTGTCTCTCTGGTGAGCATATGCACCCTACAGCAAAAATTTCTCTAAAAAAAAAAAAATGACATTTGGTCATATAAAGAATTCTAGGTTAGAAATTCTTTTTTCCCCCCAGAACTACAAAGACCGTATTTCATTATCTTCTTGGGTCCAGTATTGCTGGTCAGGTGTTGGAATCACTCTAGTTCTTATTCAGTGTACATAACCTGTTTTATCTCTGAAGTGTGATAGAACTTCCTCTGTCTCTAGTGTTCAGAAGTTTCTCGATGATGCACCCTACAGTGAGACTATTTTCACTCACCAAGGTCAACTGAAAGTAGAACTTTTAACAGGCAACTCTTCCGTTAGCTTCAGAAAATATTCCTGAATGATATAATAAATTATTTTCCCCTCTATATTTTCATCTTCTCTTTCTGAACTTCCTTCTTGTTCAGATGTTAGATTTCCTGGATTACGTCTAATTTTCCTGTTTTTATTTCCTATTTTCTTTATCTTTGCCTTTTTATTCTTCTTCATTTCCTTGGAGATTTTGTTAACTTTTGCTTCCAGTCCTACCACTGAGTTTTTCATTTCTGTAACATTTTTAATTTCTAAGAGCTTGTGTTTTTTTCTCTCAGAAATTCTTTTTGCAACCCCCTGTTCTTATTTCATGGATACACTGTATTTTCTGATCTCTTTGGGTATATTAATGATTAGTTTCTTAAAAATTCTTTCTTCTCTGAGCCAGCAGGTGGCATAGATGTTAAAGCAGCTGGAACCCACATGACCAACTGCACAGTTTGAGTCCTGGTCCAGCGGTTTGAAAATCGTACCAAGTTCATGTGTGTATTTACACCCAAAACCCTGAGAGGAGAATAGAGGAGAAGGAATTGCTATGTGGCCATCCCCTCTGGGGGGGGGGGGTAATTTCTTACTTTCCCTCTCTATCTCTCTGTCTCTTGAGCACACGCACCCAGTGACAAAATTTAAAAAAAATAAATAAAAAAGGAAAAAGAAAAAGTAGTCTTCCTTTCCCTTCACAGTGTATGTTTCCAAGTTAATTTTTGTTTGTTTCAGTGTGCCATGTTAGAAGTTTTTTTCTAACTTGCTGTCTGGCTTTATGATTAAGAATGGGGAATTAAGGGGTGAGCAGAGGGCATGGTGGTTAAGCCACTGGACTCCCACATAGTTGACCACTGTTTGAGTCCCACACCTAGTGGCTTGAAAATCACACCAGGCACATATGTGTGCATGCCCAAATACCCAAGAAAAGAATGGAGAAGAAGTGAAAGTGGCATAGCCATCCACCCCTGGGGTGTGATTTCTCATTTTCCCTCTTTCTGTCTCTCTCTCTCTCTGGTAACAGCATGTTCCCTATGGTAAAAACCTTTTTTTAAAAATGGGGAATTAAGTTGAAAAGAAGCTATGAGTGTGAGTATGGAACTTTTCAAAGTTGTGCTTCAATGTATAGTTTGGGTGAGTTATTTGTTGGGAATCACAAATGTCAACATCTTTAATTCTTTCCTCTGAGACAGGATTGGTTCTCATGAGAATTATTTTCCTACTTCCTATCTAAGAGGCAAAGGTCTGGCTATCAGTGTGCTGGGAGACCAGCAGGGAAAGGAGACTGCAACATTCAGTTTTTAGTTTGCATTGGTCATTTAATCCTGTGGTTTTGGTTAGAGTACCCACATATTCAACTCTATTTAGCATCTTTTATCTCAGGGACCTACCACCTACTTTTTCCAGAAAACAAATCTCCAAAACTCTGCCAGGGTTTTTGGGAGCAGGTGGGTATTCAGGATAATCATTCACCTATTTGACAAGGTGCTAAGGATTTAACTAATTTTCAAATAGCATTTTCTAATTTTCTTTAATTAGCACCAGGTATAGAACTGGTTTTAATAATCTCATTTTAAATATGAGATAAAGGAATCTTAAAGAAGCTAAAAATCTTTCCCATGATCACAAAGCTAAAGTAAGGCAGAGATGGGATTCAAATTCAAGTCTCTCTGATGTCAAACCACATGATCCTTTTTTTTTTATTTTTAGAGGTTGTTTCGCCTTACGGAGCTCACCAGAGAGAGCGAGAGAGAGAAACAGAAAGAGGGAAGTGAGAAATCCCCCCCTCCTCCGGGGGGATGGCCATAATGCAATCCTTTCTCCTCTATTTTCCTCCTAGGATCTTGGGCATGCATGCACACACGCCTGGCATGAGTTTCAAGCCATTGGGTCCAGGAATCAAACCACAGTAGGCCATGTGGGAGTCCAATGACATAACCACTATGCCATCTGCTGGCCCTGAAACCATATGATCTTAATTACTACCATACCACTCTACCATATAGAATTATTTTTACTCATTACAGAATTAATTTAAATTTTGAGTATAAAATTTAGAAGCCAAGAAAACTAAGATGATGGGAAATTGACATCTTATCTATAAAGAATGGTGATGGATATGCTATCTTTATCCAAAAAAAGATGGTGGAAGAAAAGGTGAGAGGCTATATTTAATTATTTGAAGACAGTCACAAAACCTTTGTAATAATATCTATTTCTTATATTATGCATGAGCTACAACTGGAATTAGTAGGTGAACGCTATATGAAAGCAGACTATGCCAATTATTAACAGGGAATGTTCTAGTATCATGGTTCCCCATGCAGGACA